TCTTATTTCCGATCCGGACAATTTTAGGGGTCTACAGAGGGAAACATTTATAGAACCGGTTAGGGAAGTCACTTGGCGCCAATGTGAAGGGTTCACATGTGGCGCCAAGATTTGAATTCAAAATTTGAAATTTGAATTCAAATCTCAACTCACATGTGTGTCACCGGTTCACATAGTAGCTAAGTGAGTTTAGGTTTGATTTAACTTGAATTTAGGGTTGCATTTGGGTCACACATGTTCAGCCAAGGTGGCGCCCATCCATGTGACTCCAAATGCAACTTAAATGCAAGCTAAATTAAACCTAGTTTAACCTAATTCTATTAAACATTTTTTCCTCCTAATTCCTAAACTAATGACCTAAATACAATGGTCCAAGAAATACAATGAATAGGAAAAATTATAAGAAAGAGAATGAGCCCAATATTGGGTATCAAAAGCCCAAAGCCCATGAAGCCCAATTACAAGCCCAAAATTCACAAACCCTAATCTATGGTCAAAATACAAGACCACAAACAAAGTAACTTCCTATTCTATGAATGTAAAATAAAACATGGTGTTTAATCAAGTCCAAGTGAGAAGCACCCTAGGCCCACCAAGTCCATTGGGCCCACTAAGCTCTGAAGCTGACAAGTCTTCAAGTAGTCTCCTGACCATAGCTTTAGTGGTTGGACCCTTGGTCCATGCTCTTCCATCAATAAGTGATAGATTACGTGGTGCAGTATAGGTGTGTGCAGTAGATAAATAAAGATTACGTGGTGCAGTATAGGTGTGTGCAATAGATAAATAAGTGAATATTGTAGATAAATAAGTGATGCAGTTAGATTACGTGGTGCAATATAGGTGTGTGAAGTAGATAAATAAGTGAATATTGTAGATAAATAAGTGTATAAATGGATAGATTACGTGGTGCAGTAAATGGATGGGGTGTGCGGTAGATAAATAAGTGAATATTGTAGATAAATAAGTGTGTAAATGAATAGGTGTGTGCAGTAGATAAATAAGTGAATATTGTAGATAAATAAGTGATAAATAAGTGGTAGATTACGTGGTGCCGTATAGGTGTGTGCAGTAGATAAATAAGTGTATAAATGGTTAGATTACGTGGTGCAGTATAGGTGTGTGAAGTAGATAAATAAGTGAATATTGTAGATAAATAAGTGTATAAATGGATAGATTACGTGGTGCAGTAAATGGATAGGGGTGTGCGGTAGATAAATAAATGAATATTGTAGATAAATAAGTGTAAGTGCTGGTAGATAAATAAGTGAATATTGTAGATAAATAAGTGATAAATAAGTGGTGGAGATTACGTGGTGCAGTATTGGTGTGTGCAGTAGATAAATAAGTGAATATTGTAGATAAATAAGTGTATAAATGGATAGATTACATGGTGCAATAAATGGATAGGTGTGTGTAGTAGATAAATAAGTGAATATTATAGATAAATAAGTATAAATGTTGGTAGATAAATAAGTGGTAGATATTACGTGGTGCAGTAAATGGATAAGTGTGTGCAGTAGATAAATAAGTGAATATTGTAGATAAATAAGTGTAAGTGCTGGAGCAGATTATGTGGTGGATATTACGTGGTGCAGTAATTATTATACAACCGATTACGCATGATATTATGTGGGCATGGATATTACGTGGTATAGATATTACATGGTGTCATCTATAAATAGTAATTATTGGACGAGAGCACCAATTACGCATGATATTACGTGGGCATGGATATTATGTGGTATAGATATTACATGGTGTCATCTATAAATAGTAATTATTGGACGAGAGCAAAACAAAACGTAAAAAAAAGAAAGAGTGAAAGTGATAATGTAACAATTTTACTTCTCTTAATGTAAGGGGAAGTAGAACTTTATCCTTTTTAAAATTTTATATGTTACTATATTTATTTAATTATTTTATATTTTGTGTGTATTTATTTAGTGAGGTATCCCTAACCTCATTTATTTGCTTAATCTATGATAATTTTTACTCATTAATTAATAAGGTGTTCATAATTTATATTGTTTAATTATTTTATAATGATTATTATTGTCATTTATTTGATTAGTACTCTTAATATATTTCATTTACGTAAACATTATTTTAATGATAAAAATTCAAATTTATTTAGCATAATTATTTTTATGATTAACTATAATATAGTTTTGTTAAAATATCTTTGACTTATCTTGTTGTTATTTCTTCATGCATTTATAAAGATAAAAAAAATTATCTTATGGCCATAAGGATGAAAGTTTGAATTAATTTGTAGTTGGAGATTTACCTTGGGGATTCAAATGGGTAAAACTTAAGGTGAAATAACCTTTAGTTAGTTGTTATTATAATGCTCATTTATCCTGACTAGTTACTACAAGTATAATTCAAATTTTTTTATATCAAGAAAAATTAATATATAATTATTAGTATTAAATATTTCTATGCATATTATGTCATTGTTAATATTTTTTGGATAATTATTTTCACTCCTTATGTTTCTTGTGTAATATATGTAATTAATTTATAAAAATAAATAAATAAATATAGATGGACGTTCCAACAATTTCAACTCCATTTCCTTCAGTAATCTCCGCAGTTTTCTCTGGCACAACGTGGAGTGTTGACGCTTTAGCCAACTCAGTTACCTTTAATGGAGTAGCAGTGTCTTCATTCACCTTTTCTCCAAATCAAGAAATTCCAACTGCGATAGAAACCATGTCAATCCTATTGTAAATTTATTTCAACCACCTATGTAAATTTTATAGTAGAATAGAAACTATGGTATGTAAATATGTACGTATTATAAATATTTTTAGAATAATATGTAATGTAAATATTAAAATCGTATGTGAGATATAAGAAGTTATAATTAAGTGAGCAGCTACGCATGTAGTGATAAATATTTTTA